CCCCCCCCCCCTCCCCGGTCCGCCGTCTACAGCACCAGACCCCCGTGAAGGGGCATCACATCCACCACCCACACTTGATGCACCACCCGGGCGGCAGCAGCGGCGGCGGTGGCGGGGCCGGGGCCGGGGCCGGGGGAGGGGCAATGGTCCCTGTCCCCGCTCCGTCGATGGACGAGAAGCAAGTGAAGCGGGCGGAGCTGGTGGAGTCGCCAACGACGAGGCTCGCCTTCAAGGTCGGTGAACAACAAAGAACCAAGAAACAAGCCTAATCGGTTGCCCTCGTAGTTTCATGTACTTGTCAGCCCGTTGATTATTCTGGCTCGTTTGGTATGTGTTAAGTCAGTCAACCCTTCGTCGCAACCTTGCGACCGCCCACCGCCTTCCTTTTTTTGTTCGGTGTTGCAGACCGTACATCTCCCTGCCCTCAAAGTGATACCCGAGCGAGTTGGTTTCACGAAGTTGGTCAAATGTTGTTGATTCGATTCGTCTAAAAGGTGGATTCCCGCCGCCAATCGCACTCTGTTCAAAATGTCGAGTAACGTGCTTTTCAATATTTTTGCTTTCAGTAACTCCGCATGAACAAGGATGAGGTGTGGGTATGGTATCCCACCGCGGATATGTATGCGCTCAAATCTGTGAGTGCTAGGAGTATTTTTTCTATTGTAACGTTTCACCTCCACCCTCTCCAACCGGCACTTTCAGGACTTTTACCGCGCGTTCCGGGCGAAGGAGAAGACCTCCTTCCACGCAGCCAAGGTGTTCGCGATGGAGTGCTTCAAGATGCTGCCGGTTAAGGTATGTTAACGTTTGGAGGGTCTTGTCTTTGGGGGGGGCGCTGTTTCAATGTGCAACGGGACGCCCCAAGGTTAAAACCCCAACCCCAACTCCAGCCTCACGTAGGTGTCGTAGCACCTGTCAGTCTCGCTCTCGAACCCAAGTCTCAACCGACAGCTTGACCGCGACTCATTGGTGCTGGGATCCCACCCGTGCTGTTTGTGCAGTAGGTCCCTGGTGCCGGTATGTGCCCAGAAAATTCACCGGCGCTATACCGGACCCGCACTACTCGAAGTATTGAGAATGACTTGGAAATTCTGTGTGTGCCCGCCGAAAACACCGGCACTTTACCGGGCACGAGCAATATTCAACCAACCGGCACTAAACAGGGACCTCTGTTAGTCGTTGCACCCCGCACCAAACCAACGTTTGCCTATTTTTCTCCTGATAAGCCCGTGGTAATGTTTCCCGAGTTTTGTCAATGCCCCTTGTTTTGTTTGTTTCGTGATGCGAATTTTCATTTTTATGTTTTGTTGGCGCGTCTGTCTGTTCGGCTTGTTACGAACAGGTGCACTGGAGGCTCTACTTGGAGATAGCCGACCTGGCGAGGAGGGAGAACCGTTTCGTTGAGGCCCGAAAGTTGTACAGAAAGGCGAGTGTGCGTTCTTGCCTTGACTTGCCTTGCCTTGTCTTGCCTTGCCTTCTCTGCAGCAACGAGAGTGTGCAGGTCTTGTGTTGTGTCGGATGGGGCGGGGCTCTCTTTAGTGGCCCCCTTCGCGCGTGCTTGCGCTTGCACGCCCCGAGAGACAAGAGAGAACTCGCGCGCGGGGGCGAGCAGCCTTGTGAGCTCCGGTTGTTGCTTGATGCGCCGTCAGCTCGAAGGGATGGTTGCCCCCCCCCCTCTCGGGGCGTCTGTTTAGCCATCGCCCTTGTCCTTGTCCTTGCCCTTTCCCTTGTGTTTGCTCTTGCGCGTGCCTGACTGCTTCGATGCGACCGTTCTGTCTTGGGGGTGACGCAATCTAGGTGACCAAGATGCAGCCGTTCGCCTCCCAAGGGTGGGTGGAGTACTGCAAGCTGGAGGAAGAGTTTGGCGACCTAAGCAGGTAATGTTTTTTTTTTTTTTGCTTTTTTTGGTGGTGTTGGTCCACTACGGATGTGTGTCGTTCTCGGAGGAGGCCCCTGCTGATTCTGTATCCAGTGCGACGGCTGATATGCGTCCCGTGTCCGCATTTTTCTCTGCATTTGTTTTCAGACGCCGAAATCAAGCCATTGGACTAGTCAGCGTCTTACTAGTCGACTGTTTTGATTTTGGCTTCGAAGAAAGTTAGCCTGCAGCACAAGGCGGTCTTCCACCACCTTGTGTGGCTTTTGTTCTGGCGTGTTGTTCACAGGCTACTGATGCTGCTCTTTTACCTCTTGCATTGTCTCGGCGAACGCCAGGTGTTCCCAAATCCTTCGGAGGGGGTTGACGTTCTGCGAGTACTCGGAGACGCTTTTGATCAAGGCTGTGAAGCAGGAGGAGAGGGCGGGGAACCTTGACGGCGCGAGGGAGCTGCTTAGCCGCCTCAAGCATGTCGGGATCGAGAACGTGAGCTTCGGGGGAAGGATAGAAGGAGGCTGGCGGCGGGGGTGGCTGGAGGACCTACTCACGTGTTGTACTTGTATGATAGACCATCGACCACTCGTGCTCGAGAGGACGGAGGGGGAGATAAACATCGGGTCTGGTGGGAAATTGACAAAGAAGAGCAGAACTGTAAGTTTTTTTTCCCGAAACGGGGAGGCATGGCGATCCGCCAATCACAGCACCTCACCTGATCAAACCTTGACAACCCTCAAACATGGGGTGACGTACAATAGATACGAGTAGACTGATGACACACCTGTGTGTTCGATCGCAACTTCTCGGTACAGCAGTCGTCGCCGATACGACGACGCTCATGATTTTTTTTTCAAAAACGCGTCAATGCGGCCGATACAAGTGTGCCCCCCCCCACTTTTTTTTTGGCATTGTGCGGGGCACCATGGTTCTGAGCTGAGAGAGAGTTGGATAAGTTTAGCGGGCACGCCTGTAGTCAAGAGACACACGCCGCCGACATTCGACGTGCGGCGAAGCTTCTCTCGTGCTGCCGCCCAAACGCGTTTGATGGACCCCTCCCGCACGCCACTGCTGCTGCCGCTATCGCTCGTTTTCTTTTGCCCTGTGTCTTTTGAAGGTTTGGCGGACGGTGTTGGAAGGCGCGCTCCTCGAGGCCCGGTCCGGCAACACCGATGTCGCTCGCAAGGTTCTCAAGTATCTCATGACGCACGTTCCCTGGTACGGACCCATCTACTACGAAGCGTTTAGGTGAGAGACACGGGGATGGATGGGGCTGCGGCTAAGGCTGGAAAGCTAACTCTGGGTATGGGGGGACGGGAGGGGGCACGGGAGGGGGGACGGGTGAAGTTGGGCCTCTCCATGCTTCGCCACGGGGCCGCCTCGTGTGAGAATCGCTCTGACTGCTGGGGAGAAACACGCCCCCTCGGTATTTCAAGGGGGCTATTCGACGGTAGCTCCCATTGTCGGGTTCTCAACGCCCGTTTGTGCTCTTCTGTTGTTGTGCACGGATCCCAGAAGCGTAGAGAGCAAGGGCTGGGGGCGGCGGGTTTCCTTAGCGTACGCGAGTGAATCGATGGAGTTGTGGAGGCAAAAGAGCAAAAGAGAGGGTTGCGACAACGAGTCGATGACGCCTATGCATGTGATAAGTAGTGAGTAATCGCTTTTTATTTCTCGAACCTCCCACAAAATAGGCTCGAAGAGAAGGCGGAACACTTCGAGAGCGCACTTGCAATCGTGCAGAGGGGTTTGCAGGAGATCCCACGTTACGGCCCGCTGTGGTTTGGCGCTTTCCGACTGAGCGAGAAGCTGGGTGAGCAGTTTGTTTTCCCTCCCAGTGTGACAGGTCGCATCTAGTGTTGTTTCTGCTGCTGCTGCTGCTGCTGCTGCTGCTGCTGCTGTTGGATTCGCCATTCGTCCGTCGTCGTTGTCGTCGCGCATGTACTACACTTTCCCGTTTACCGTGGCCCGTAAGCTGCTGTGTTTTCGTTTCGCTTCCGCGCGCTCGCCGCACACACGCAACAGACATGCGTGACGCGAAGAAGGCTTTAGCCGAGGGGAAGTCGCCCTTCGAAGCCTACCAACAGAGGGCGACGTCCGACCCGTCCACGCGAGGGCAGGGCGGTAGCGGCGGCGGCGGCGGTGGCGGCAAGGTGGTGGTCTGCAGCCGCGCGAAGGAGACCGTCGAGAAGGCCAAGGACTGCATCAGCAAGGAGCTCGTGTGGAAGGTAGGAGAGCAACCGCCGCTGTCCGTCGCATGTTGTTGTTGCTGGTGCTGCTGGTGCTGCTGGTGCTGTTGTCATCATCATGGAAGCACGTTTCGTGCGTCTGGTCGTGCTCGATTTTGGCAACGGTCCTCGAGATCGAGTGTCGAAAACAATGGGGGATCCATCCGTGCCACCGGCTTCGCGAATCCGATTGATTGATTTGCCTCCCTTCGTTTTGGTGTGTACAACTTTTCACAGGTGCATTTCGAAGCAGCTCAGATCGAGGAGCGGCTGGCCAGCGTGTGCGCCAAGGCGATCGCAACCAGGTCCTTACAAGCAGCAGTAGCAGCAGGAGCTAAGCGAGCCCCAACCGCTGCTGCAGGTGCTACTACTGGGGGTGGTGCTACAGCGGCCGCTCCCCCCGCCGCGGCGACGAGTAGCGGCCCCGCCAACGTGCCGTCGACGCCGATGACGCCCCGAGAGCTGCGCGAGAAGCTTCGTCAACCACCGTCGCCGTCACCCATGGCGGGGCGCGTCGATCGATCCCCGACGTCTTCCGCCGACGCTGCCGCTGACCCCGCCGGTGTGCCACTAGCAGCAGCAGCAGCCGCTACCATCGGCGGCGGCAGCGGCGGGGTAGTTGAGGTTGGCTGCGAAGCGGAGACGAGGATCGACCTAGTACGCTCGGAAGCGCTGCCGTCCTCGTCAGCAGGGCAAACGGCAGCGGCAGCAGCAGCAGCAGCAGCAGCTGGGTCGAAAGGCTTGGGAGACAGCGGTGCGGAGGCGGGAGGAGTGGCGGTTGCGCATGTCGATGATGGCGGTGGCGGCAGCGGCGGTGACATTGTGAGCGAGGCGCAGGCGAGAGACTCGCTGCTGGGGCCCTGCCGGTCTGCGTACGCCCACGCGGTGCTCACGTGCCCGCATAACTTGCGCTGGAAGGTGAGGACTGCTTGCTCTCTCTCTCTCTCCCTCTCAATGTCTCTTCTGTCTCTGTCTCTGTCTCTCTGTCTCTGGTCTCTCTCGGGCGTTTTTGTTCGGTCAATCCCTGGGTCTGTTTTCTTCTTTGCTGAGGAGACGACAGTACAAGTCGGGTTGGAGGTTGCTCTCGTTCGCACAGGGCGGGGGTAGCATGCGTGTGTGTACATGTTTTGTGGTTGTAAGTTTTTATCATCGACTACGTTAGATACTCATTAGCTGAACAATGCGTTACAACAGTCTTGGTAGCAGCAGGACGAAAAGCGCGAACACGGTTTCTCGTCGGCCGGCGGGCTCTCCCTTCGGGGGGGGGGCGTACTCATTTGTTGCTTGCCGTAGTCATTTGACCATTGACCACGGGGGGTGCATTTCTTGATGTGTCACTTTCGACCGCGCAACTGGCTGGCCAATCAATATGCATCAGTCCTACACGAAATTTGTATGTGTTTTGCTCCCTGTATTCTTGGCTATTATTTCATGCACTTCACTCCCCTTGATGACATGCGGGTGTTTTTTTTTTTTTTTTCAGGTGTGGTTGGCGGGGGCGAGGATGGAGCTGGCAGCCGGGAACTGCCTCCACGCGCAGCGCCTTCTCAACCGAGCTTTCCAGGCACGTAACACGCGCACCAACCCTCCCAAAGGGTTACAGGATGGCGGACGCGTGGGGCATGAGACTGCGCCTGTGGGAAGCATTCGGCGTTGGGACAACTGGGACGTGACTCCTCGCCCGAATAGCTGTTGCAGAACACGCCGATCCTCGTGGTATCGAGTATGTAGTCGTCCGTCGGACTCCCGGTTTGTGTATATGTGTTTCATTGTAGCATGGACCGCGCTCACCGGCAGACCAGTGAAAATTCGCCAGTCTCAGTGCGGTTGAAAGCACAAGACATGTGCATGTAATTTGTCTAGGAAGTATACAATCACAGAAAACTATTCGTTCGAGATAATACCACAGTCCATTTTCTTTATTTTTTTTGGTGTTGTGGCGAGAGGGCGAAGTGTTTTTTTGTCGAGCGGCCGTCTCACTTGTGTCGCTTGCCGCGTGGCGACCCTTCGTGTATCATTCGTTTTGCAGCGCTGCCGGATGCCATTGCGGCTGCGCTTGTTGTGTCTTTCACGCGATCGGGCGTAGTTTTTATTTACAGAGTAGATATTTCCTGTTTTTATCTGTGCAACAGAACCATTCTTTTTGCTGCTGTGTTGGCTGCTGTCGAAAAAACAACAATTTACAACAACGGCAACGACAGCAACAACGGCAACGACAACGAACCACAACTCAAGTTCTTACTTTCTACGCCCGATATTCACTCTTGTATTCACTCTTGTTGTGCTTACCGTCACCTGCCCCGAGCAGGAGGTCCCCGAGAAGAGTAAGAGCCACGTCTTCCTCGAGTGCGCCCGGTTGGAGGAGTTCACGGGTAACCTGGAGTGCGCCCGCCAGATTCTTGAGAGAGCCAGGGTGGAGACGAAGAGCGAGTGGAAGGCAAGTTGTTGTCTGTTGTCGTGTGTAGTTGTTGTTGTTGTTGTTGTTGTTGTTGTTGTTGTTGTTGTTGTTGTTGTTGTTGTTGTTGTTGTTGTTGTTGTTGTTATTGTTGTTATTGTCATTTACCTCCTAGGTACCGCGGCGGCGGGACTCATGCCGTGCTGCTACTGTGCTGCTGTCGCAGAGCCACGTCGGAGTGGCGATGAACGGGGTTCGCTGGTGTGTTTCGGCAAGCACCCGACCCCAGCGGGGCCCAGCGGGGACGATTGTGTGGTCGATCATTTTTTGTCGTGATACAGCAGTGTACGGCAGGGATTTTTGTGGTGTGATGGTGTCGTTGACGATGATGACACCGACGATGGTGCTGCTTTGTTGTTGTTATTGTTGTTGCTGTTGGTGACAGGTGTTCCTCGAGAGCGTCCTGCTTGAGATCCGTGCCAACGACTGGCAGCGAGCGGCGGCAGAGGCTCAGGAGGCGCTCAAGGTGCATTCCGGGGCCGGGAGGCTGTGGGCCGTCCTGGTGCAGCTCAAGCAGAGGGACAGCGACCAGGCTCAGCAGGCCTCTCTCAAGCAGGTAGGATATCAACACACAGACACGCACACGCACACGCACACCCACTCGTTCCAAAATTTTTGCACGCGCGCGCGCACATGCGTTTCATGCTTTTGGTCGCCGTCGTCGTGGTCGCCGTTGCCGTTGCCGTTGCTGATGTTGTCATACGGGGCCGCCGCCATTTTTGGTCCCTCGTTCCGACGAAAGTCGGTACACACACTGTTTAATGAATCGGATTCATCCACCCCACGCTGTTCAAGCCTCGGCCTTCATCGGGTGGATGGTCTCCAGGCACTTCCGCTACTTTCGCGGGGGTGGCCTTACAAATGTGCTGTACCCACACCAGGTGCCCTCACTCACACTTGCGGTGCCCCCCCCCCCCTTTGCCATATTTTTTACGTTTACCACGCTCTCATTAGGCGCTTAAAGAGGTGCCCAAGTCGGGAGAGGTGTGGTGCGAGGGAGCCCGGATACACCTGAACCCGCTCTCGAAGGCCTTCGACCTGGAGACAGCCGGGAAGTACCTGGGATTCGCGGTGCAGTTCACCCCCCAGTACGGGGACTCGTTCATGGAGTGCCTCAGGTGGGAGTTGGAGGCAGCAGGCAGGCAGACGGGCGACAGGGAGACAAAGAGAGACGAGAGAGGGCGGGGGCGGGAGCTTGCGTGTGTGTGTGTACGCGAGCAGGTCGCGGCAAAGCATGTGCCAGTGTTTGGTAGCGGAGGTGGAGGGGGCTCGTGACGAAGCGGTACTGCTGTGTGGTTCAAGCTGCGACATAATCTGCTGTGTACGGGAAGGGTACCGCATTTTTTTTTCTTTCCTCGTTGTGTGGGGATTGCTTGCAGCGGTGGGGCCGGGGCACGAAAAGCACCTCAAAAACAGAAGAGCGTGGAGCCGGCACGCGAACGGCCCTTGCTGTGGAACGCTCCTCCCTTGTACCAAAACCTTACCCGAGCGCGCAAGATTGCCATGTGTATTTGCTGGTGCTGTCGGCGGTTGTATACGTATCGCGCTGTCGGGCACATCGGAGAAGAGGCGTGGGTCGGATCGATCGATAGATATTACTCTTGATCTTCGTGGTGCTGTACACGATGAAGGCATGCGCTGCAGTAGGCGTGGGGCCTCGTAGAGAGAACGCGCGCGGGGGGGGGGGGCTTGAGCATCGACTCCCCGTCATGGCACTACAAGATGCCGAACACCCTTAGTAGGATGCAGCGCACCCTTGATGCGACTCGCCGAATACCTCACGGCGCTTCGCGCTTGGTGATGTGAGAGCCTGGTCCGGCGAGAACCCGTGGTGCTCCGTTCCGGTTTTGTAGGGATGCGAGGTCAATAGTCCAGTGACTACGGCATGCACGACTATGAGTGCACCGCCCCCGCCCCCCGCCCCCGGCATGGCACCCGTCCACTGTGTAGACCTCCACACCTCACCTCACGTCCGTGTGTGTTTTGTTGTTTTTGCTGTGGTTGGTTGGTTGTGCATCCACAGACTGGGCCTCCTGAACGATCTCTTTCTGCCCAAAGCGAGAGCGATCGCGGACGCGAGGGAGAAGAAGAAAAAAACCGCTGCGGAACCCGCAGCAACGGCGACGACCGCGGCGGCGGCGGTGCCGCTGCTGCTCTCGTCAGAAGCGGTATCGCCGGCAAGGGTAGAGAGAAGAAAAGGAATAGAAGGAATGCCCACACCTGTGGAAGAGGCGCCGCGCGACGCGGTGAAGCACGCGGGGGGTGGAGGAGGGGGTGGCGACGGTGACAGTGGCGGTCCCGCCGACGGGACTCGGACGGCAGGGCCGGAGGGCTGCGACGGTGTCGACGCCGTCGCCGCCACGGCGGTGGCCGTCGCCGCCGTTGACGGTGGGAAGGAGGGTGGTGGTGATGAGGTCACCGCCGGCGGTGGAGACGAGCGCGAGAGAAGCAGCCTGGGGGGTGAGGACCCAGCACGCCCAGCGGCGGCAACGGCCGGCGGGGCAGCGGCGGCGGCGGCGGCGGCGGTGGGGGACCGATCGTGGCTGCTTCCGCCTCAAGTGTGGGCGGCGATCGACCGCGGAGATTTCGCTACTACCCTTCACCCCGGTGGTGGCGGCGGCGGCGGCGTTGGCGGCTGGTCTGGCGCGGGTTCCGCTGCTTCAGCGGTGCCGGCAGGCCGCAGCAACAGCAGCAACAGCAGCAACAGCAGCGGCGGCGGTAGTAGCGGCAAGAGTACCCAGGGGGGCGACGTTAGGGGATCAGTAGATGACGACGACGACGACGACGACAGCGAGGCGCCAGCCGCCTCTCCTCCTTGCGCCAACCCTTCCTCTTGGACGGCTTCCACAGCCTCGACAGCAACACCGTTATCGTCGTCGTCGTCGATCACGACAACGCCAACAGCAGCCAAGACCGCGACGACGGCGACGGTCGGCGCCGACGCCTCCTCCGCCCCCGGGGATGGAATCGTAGGTGGGGTTCCCGGCGGTTGGTTCGAGCTCGGGGAGGACGAGGTGGCCGCGGCGGGGCGGCTTTCACCGGGGGACTTCTTGAGGGCGGAGGTGGAGGGGCTGGTGCTGAGGTGTGTCAACGCGGACCCGAACTACGGGTCCATGTGGTTCCACTGCCGACATCGGCCCTCCGACACTGCAAAGTGAGTTGCCTGCTAGGCCGCAAGCCAAGGGGTTGGGGGGGCGGGGGGGGGG